GCGAGGTGGGGGCAGTATCTTCAGTGTCTGGGAATTCAGTTGCCATGGAGTGTTTCACTGGAGCGGATCGTGCTTTTTGTGTGCGCGCGTTTTATCAAAATAATGATTCGGCAACCATTGCGCGGCGTAAATATCGAGAATACAACAATTTACACAATTTTACAAAGTGTCCAACAGCTCAAACGATTAAGAACTGGGTTGCTAAGTTCGAAGAGACTGGTTCGACGTTAGATAAACAGCGGTGGGGTCGACCAAGGACAACTCGTATTGAAGAAAACATCAACATTGTGGCACAGTCTGTTCGTCAAAATCCTACCCAGTCTACTCGTAAGCGTTCCAGTGCACTAAACGTACCCAGAACACCTTTACAGTGGATTTTAAGGAAAGATTTACGTCTGCACGCTTACAAAATTCAGTTAGTGCAGGAATTAAAAGATAATGACGCTATTCAGAGACTAAACTTTGCGAATTAAATGTTGAATCGATTTTCTTCGCTCAATAATGTGTTGTTCTCGGACGAGGCTCACTTCCATTTAAACGGGCATGTAAATAAACAAAATTGCCGTTATTGGAGCCCCGAAAATCCAAGGCGTAAGCATCAGAAGCCCTTACACAGCCCTAAAGTTACAGTTTGGGCTGCTATGTCAGCGCATGGCATCGTAGGCCCTTATTTTTTTGAGGACGACAGAGGTCGCGCATTAACTGTTACTTCGGAGCGGTATGTAGCAATGATAGAAGAGTTTTTGATACCAGCGTTGCAGAATTTTCCAGGCTATAATACGCAGACCTGGTTTCAACAGGACGGAGCAACTGCCCACACCTCCAACACTTCTATGCCCGTCGTCTGTCAACTATTTCCCAGCAAAGTAATTTCTCGAAGAGGAGACATTTCCTGGCCACCATGTAGTCCAGATTTGACCCCAATGGACTTCTTTTTATGTCAGTCATCTACAATTTTAGACGTCGTTTATATGAGTGCCGTGATCGTAATGGATTGCATTTAGACGATGTGATTTTTAAAACATAATTCCCATTCAATAAAGATGATAACAAAATATAATAATTCTTCATAATGTAACTAGTTTGGTTTTATTCCTTTTTTTCCAGCTCAAAGGACTTATGGGCCACCCTGTATATATTTCTATGAAACTATTTCTTAAAATACAGAGCGCGCCAGATAGGCGTACGAATTTCAAAACCACATTTCTCGTGGCAGGCGCGGGTAGTTGGGGTAAGTAGCTTGTTGCTTGGAACTTTAGTCGCCATGGAGCGTTTCACCGGTGAGCAGCGTGCTTTCTGTGTAAAGGCTTATTACTAAAACGGGGATTCGTGCACTATTGCACGGCGTCTATTTCGCTCTGAGTTAAGTTTACATGATGTAAATCAATGTCCTAGTGAAAGTGTGATCAGGTCAGGGTTCAGGAAGTTTGAGTCTGCGGGTACGATACCTGGGTGCGCCCAAGGTCAATACGAACGGAGGAAAATAAAAGCGAAGTTGCGACGTCCATCCAAAATTAAAACACCAAAGACCTCTGCATTAGCGTAGAGTTACAGCTTGTAACAGTAAATTTTAATCTTCACACAGCAATGTTACGTATGTTTTTCTTTACACAACTGCATAATTTTGAAGCCTACAACAGCAAGCCCCGATTTCAATAAAATGGCGCAACATCTCAGACACCCAATGAGTCTGTAGCAGTTGTAAACGAAATGTTTAATGTAAAACTGATATGGCGACGAGAGGATATTCCGAGGCCTTCACGAAACGCAGATCTCACGCAAAGGGATTTTTTCCTCTGGGGATACCTCAAGAGCCGCGTTTACGCCAATAAACCGACGACGGTTACCAGCTCAAAAACAATATTGCAATGTGCAAGCGAGTTTTCACGAATTTGAAGTCTACATTCGAGGAGTGTGTGCGTCTCGATGGCTCGCATCTCAATGTTATTAAATAAAATCCCATCTACTTTATTAAAAATATAAATCTTTAGTACGGCTTTTAATTTTTTCTATGATTTTGTAAAATGCGCTGTTTTATGTTTTTATTACAGTAGACGGAAGACTAGATTCAAATGGAGGAGGCATTCCACGAACGCGTCATTCGCGTAGTGGACCAACATACCTATATGTAGGCGTAAGGAATATGTCAAATCATTAATCTTTGATAAATACGAGATTGAATGATGAGATTAGAAACCATATTCGTTATTAAAAAGAAACATCCCCTAATGCTTCCGAAGGTGGCCAAAAATCAACAATGAGAGCTTTCTAATGCGTAACTTTACTATAAGAGGCTTCACAACAATTATTTGTTTCTTTCCATGTTCAAGTTCTACGGGATCTATTAAATATCTATTTGGTTATTTTCAACTGAAGAGTTTAAAGGTAAATTTTAAGGGGCGAGTTAACATTTCAACAGTTACCCATGTTATGCATGATGTCAACATAACAGCAGATTATTTTTAAACTGTATGATAGTTTGGGCTTGTCCTATACATAGGGGTAGCATGTTGCTCCTAACTTCCCCTTTGAAGAGCGTCCCGAAACGTCCACCCCCCTCCAAAAGCCCTAGGCTCAAAAGAAAATTGGTGCTCTGGGAGTTAATAGCGTTAAAATAGGAATTCAAGTTTCTCGCTTTAAGAGACCTTAGAGCAAATAAATTTTTTGTTTTAAAATCATGTTTTCATACAAATGATTTTCACAATAACTATGGAAAATTGAGATTATCCTTTTGCAAAGTCTGTATCTGCGCGTCTGTGCCTGTTTTAGCGTCTAACCGTAATGTAACATGCGCAAACCGTGTTGCCAAACTTCTATCCATTCCAAAAATGTAGATTGTCATAAATATTTATCGAATTGTTTTGTGTGAACATATAGATGACTAATTTGCTATTTCCAAGGTAGGCGAAGTAAAAGATAATTGCTCCAACAAATCGCAAATGATGGCATTGAATTGCATAGGGATACGATATAGTCAAAATCACGAAAGATGACTATTACGTCATACCATAAATTGTACTGAAATAATCAGTCGACGTACGTCGATGATAAAATCACGATGTCATGCATTTATAAATATTATGATTTTGCGAAGTTAGGTTATTTCACTGATTATTTTTATTTTCATTTTATTTCATGATTTTAAGTGATAGATGCCTTAATAATAATTTTAATGTCGAGTTGTTATGAAAAAAAAAAACAGCTATGAGTAGGATACACCTTAAGACATTAACACCAAAGACCAAAGTATTATTCGAAAACAACCTAACCTGCTTTAACATAACCTAACTATTCATCTTTCAAATATGATCGATCGATCATGCAACATGAAAACATCGTCTATCTTTGTTGGATACATGAAAATTAGTAATACAGTTTATTTAGACAATAAAATTCTGTTCGTCTCTAACATATTTGAAACTTCATTAAAAATTTTCACAAATCGCTGTCGTTTGTCTTTACTACAGACTGAACTGATGACGTAATCGTCATCTTTCGTGATTTCGACTATATACGCGTGGACAATACAATGATTTTGGAGCTACAAAGCTTTATCTGCTCTTGGCCCCTTGAGGTGGGTGAGAAAGTAGACCATGGGGGGGTGTAATGTATTGGGGGAGCATAATGATTTTCACAAGACAATTTTGATCTGCGCTAGGGCCCTTGAAGCAACGATTTGGAGCATCTTCAAACGACATTGCATCTAGACAACTACCCCTATGTAGGCCAGGTCTTGGTATCAGTCCTTTTATGATATTTTAACCAGTTGTGGCTAAAATTGTAACCACTTTTATCAACAAAATGTGGACGGTGGCTATAACATCTGGTTAATTTTTTAACCCTGGTTATTTATAACCAAACACTTAGAGAATAGGCCCCTACAGCCATTACAAAAGCATAAGTATGGCTTTTATGAGTTCTCTATTCATATAAAATACTTACCGGCATTTGCTCCAGTGTATTGTCAGATACCCAGATCTGAAATGAAAGAACACGTTTCCTGAAATACTCATAATACCAGTCCTCAGTTATCCCATAGTCACTTCAATCAACAGCTTCAAATTCCTGTTTCAACTTATTGTTTTTTTTCACTTATAAACATGAAAAATATAGGTTGCCTAATACAGACGTGTAATGGACATATCATTTAAAGAGGGCGAATTTGAGTATTTCAAGTTTTGATGGGTATATTAGATGAGTGCAAGTTAAGAAAAATCATCGGTAGTCGATTTATTGGTCCATTTTTTCACTCTTAGTTTGGGCTAAAACCAGATATTTCCAAAAAAGTCCACCAAGTTCAATTTTTCACAGTTATTTCACTGTCATCAAGATACCCTTTTAACTACCTGTGCATTAATTAGACACATTTAGTTTACTCAATCATAAATTTTTCATATCTCTAATACTTTTTCTCCAAGCATAGGCTCATACGAACTTCTTTCAATACTCTTTCATGCAGAATATAATGAAACTATATATAAATAAGTCTTTTATATCACTCCAGCCGAGCAAGAAAAAGAAATCGTGTATATTAGCAGGCAACCTATATTCTAAAAACTTGTATACTTGTATATATTGTATACTCACCCATGGAAGTACTTTTCAATTCACACTGCCAGATATTGGAGAATTTATATAACGGGCAAATTTGGTAAGAGTGGTTAAAATTTGTAGTGCATTGGGAAATAAAGAAGAAAATATGGATCTGCATGTGTACCATTTTAAAAACACTAAATGCTCCCAAGCTCAATCTGCACTTTTCAGAATGGGTAACCGGCTCCTAATATACCATATTTGCTACGTCTAGATAAATTAAGGAGGATTTAGGTGTGGCGATTGGTTGACTATGGGGTGACCGGGGTTTAGGAAGCCCCCTTGCTCGTGTCCCGTGGGGGCAGTGTTTTGGTGCCCCCGTCGAGGACTAACAAAGCAAAGAAGGCACCAAAACCCACGTCCACCCCATGTACGTTTACTCAAACAATTCAATAAAACACGGAACATTCGCAAGAGAACTTCTTTATTCTTGTGTTTTCCTGTTAACGCACGTTTGCATTCTTCGGTATTATTATACAGATACTATGTACATGGCCAATTTTTTTTGGACAGCCTTTGCTTACCACAGGATAGGCTCCATCATAATAATAATAATAATAAACAATATCAATCATACTAGTATGATTTGCACTGAAAAACTCGAAACCAATAACCTGTTCCTAAAATCAACCTAGAATGATCAATGACGTGGAAATAGAAAGAAACGTTTTAAGTTATAGAAAACAACTTAATCCTTGATGAGGTTAACTAATTGTCATTAATATGGGAAGAGGATGTGATAATTAATTTGAAATTAATAATATGTTTGGCACCCACAGACAAATAAAAGTTGTGTTTTACATGATGAGCCATTTGTCTATAAACACAAGGTTGTCCAGGATATGACAAGATTTCATGTTACAATTTAAAAAAATATAACTTTGTCAGTAACATGAAACTTACGTAAAATGATTATGATAACCATTATAAATGAAAGTGTAAAAAGTATATACAATGTCTAGTTGTGGGTTATCAGTCTCTTCTTTTGGCATACATAATTATATATATATTTGTTTTAAGTTCCCGAATGAAACATACAAGCAACAGTGCCGTATAATATTCAATCCAACGTGGATAGAAAACAAGCAGTCAAACTCCCCAGCAAACGTGTGTGTAAGAACAGTGTCTTGAGTCAATTAGAATGCATTTTCATATACGCATTCTTCACTTGCATACATTCCAGTAATAATGAAGAGATTAACCACTTGTTCTCTATCATTCCTGATGCAACATAACCGAAGCTAGCAGCAGCACATCACTTCAGAAATTGACATAATCATTTATAAAATGACGGATACTATAAAAATATGTAAATGAAAAAAAAAATGCGGACTGGAAATGCCAGAAGAAAAGAAATGAAACATCACCAGCAAAACAACATTCAAAACAGATAACTTAAGTCAACAATTTGAAAACGACCAGAGTTTACGAAGCTTCCAAAATAAAAATTGGAAAAAGGGCAACAGACATAAATATACACATCCACACGATAATTTACAATTATGCGCAATAAAAAAATTGTCTTCGTGAAAAAACTATAACTCTACCAATAGACTGTACAAATAACTAACTAGATCACATTGTTTTTTTAAAAGTCCACCAGTCACTGAGCAAAATCGATCCAGTTACGTTCAAGACTTGCAGGAACTTTTGAGTACCATACTAACTGCAACTATATTGCTCCTGTATTTCAATGGCTTAATGTCCATAGAGACTAGGAGACATGTTTGAGAGAAGTTACGCCAAGGAAGTTAGGTTTTAAAATAAGTTACCATGGCCTGTCAGTTTTTCAGCCCACCAAGTGACTATGACTATATTCGAGTCCAAATGTTGATATAATCATTTACAATTTGGTTTTTTGACATGTCATTAATAAAATAAAGTTTTTCAGTGAAAAATAGTTAACAAAAAGGTCTTAACCAAGACGTCAATACCGAGCCAATTTGTGGATACATTTTAGTTGATCCCACAATTTTGCACAATGACTGACATTTCATTCTCATACTGATCACTAAGCGTTTGCTTTTGCCATCAAAACCCCGAAAATGATTTTTTAGGGCTTTCTGATCCAGCCATCTAATGTTTTTCCATTATTGTTACCGAGCTTCTTATACGGTTTTCGCCCAGTTGGTCTGAATTTTGAATAGCTCTTTGGGTATTTTAGGAACAGAGTACCAGACTCACTTTCTTTAGAAGCATCCTTATTAGTTGAATCAGCTACTGGATCAACATCGATGTCATTTTCTAGTACATCTTCTGTATTTTTATAGGTGGAGTTACAAATATGTGAAGTTGACTTGTTTTCTAAACTATCTACTTCAGAATTATGATTAACTGTTGTTGCTTCAGTGAAATTTTCATTAGTTTCTGAAACATAATTTTCACAAACATCTTCAATCGAGTCATTGTTTATGAATGTTTCATTAGCTGATGCAACATCCCAGCTATTGTCAATATTGATAATACCTTCTAAGGCAGTTTCTGTAATTTCTTTGACAGATTCATCACTATTCACACACGTTGCTTTTGCATCGATCACAGACTCATCATTATACTTGGCGAGTTTAGATGAAGTTTCTATTTTTTCAATTTCGCTATCTAGTTTTGTAAAAATATCTTCGTTTGTTGATGACGTTTCATTTTGTGTTTTTATTAGGTAAGTGCGTGTTGTTGCCTTTTTATCCTCGATTTGATCAGAACCCTGTTCTCCACTCCTGTCATGAGTTAAAGTGCTATCACAGTTGATTACATTATTAGTTGTTACAGTAGATTTTGCAGCCGCATCAGTATCACTATCATTTTCAATTAAATTTGATCTGATGCGCCTGCCGAATTATCAGCCGTTTTTTCAATATGGTCAGATGATTCTGTTTGCATATTTTCATTTTCCTCATGTTCAACTAAATTAATCGTATTTTCATTTTTATTAGGAGGTGATAACTTCGTGTAAAATGCATTTTCTTCAACTTCTTTAGATTCAACTTCTGTATTTTCGTGTTCAATATGGTTTTGTTGTTTTATGTCTACCGAATTTTCAGTCGTTTTTTTAATACAGTCATCCCTATTTGCATCAAAATCTGAATTCACATTTTCACTGTTGTCAAGCGATGTTTTATCATAACATTCTGTTTTATTTTCAGTTCCAGCACATTGTTCGCTACCCTCTGTATCAAAATCAGTTTTTGCAGCAGATTTTCTCTTACTATCTGTATCACCGGATATGTGTACTTGTCCATCTGCTAAAATATCATTCAAAATTATTGAACATTTTTTTACTTCGCACAACCCTGAATCTAAATGTTTACCCTTAACCGCGTTTCTCGGTCTACCACGTTTCTTCTTCACCACCACCACTTTCTCTTCTTCGCCAGACTGACTATCATCTCCTGAAACTGATGACGCTCCCCTCTTTGAAGGCTTCATTACTGGATTTTCTTCGCAGCCAGATTGACAGTCTTCAGATAGCGAGGAGGCGCTTTCTTTATTGTTGCGTTTCATCGGTTTTTCTCCTGGGAGGAGAGGGCTTACGTCCAGCGTCCAGAGATTGATAGCAACAGTGCCTCTGGATCGCGTACGTGGAGAATTGTGATCTGTATCATTCGCGATTAAGTTACCTGATACACTATTACTGCTCAATGACTCAGTACTATCCAGACTGTTCTCAGTGTCTCCGTTAAGTTGTGGTGAACGATCCTCGACTTCAGGATGTTTGAGTCGTCGTCTTTTCCGTCGCCGTTTCATGTGAACGTTTTTGACAAGTTTCTTGTTGATATTTTTAACCTTGATCTCCTGCCTAGCTTTTACCTTAAACCTGCGGAATTTTTTAATGTTGCTGACCTGGTTCGCGGCGTCCTCCCGACTGTATGTGATAATGTCTGCCTCCTCCTCTAGCTCTCTGGCACGCCGTTCCTCCTCTTCACGCATAGCAGCGAGACGGTTCTTTTCCCATTCGCGCTTCTGCTCTTCGATTTCTCGTTCAGCAGCTGCCAGTTGTTCCGCGGACCACGCCGACTCCGTCGCTTCGATGAACTTCATCGCGTACTTCTCGATCGGGGAGAGCTGAGAAACGAAATAAAAACATAAATATATAAATTAGTAATATCTTATCGCACATTGTTGCGCTAACATGAGCAGGCCGACAGGGCGCCATGTAGGAGTTTCCATATTAAAAAATGTAGATTTGGTTTCTTGGGATTACGACAAAAAATGAGGAACGCTAGAAATCCGAGGTCTGCTAGATAATAGTAAATAGTACATAGAAATTGTGTGCCGTGCCGTGTAGGTAAACTGAATTGTTTGTATACAGGGTGACAGGTAAATAGGTGTAAAACATTTTAGGAGGTGATAGTACAGCTCCTTTGCTATCAAAATTAGTATATAATACTCATACCCTATATTCAAAGGTTTACAAGTTATGGAAGATTTAATTTTTTTAAAAAAACAACCCAGATTACAGAGTAAAATAGTTCAGATAAAAAAAAGTTGGTGATTAAACATCCTTTTTTTGTGGTTTCAGGTATTATTTAAATAAATAATTCTCATAAATTAAAAAACATATGAAAACACTACTGAAAACGTATTTATTTTCATTTAAATGTTAAATGAAAATTTTTATTTTCAACTTTCACATTAAGAAGTCTTTTTTTCAAAAAAATCATAATAAAGAAAATGTACAAATAACTGCAAAAACTTCCTCGTTTCATTAGGTTTCTAAAATGGTATAATAACATATCAGTAAGTAAACCATTTAACAAAACAATATTACTTTGCTAGAAAGGACCGCTAAGCGCATTTCATTGTACTGAGCAGGTAAACCGAGCCTTTCATGGTTCGACCCTTTTGTTATTTTTTGTGCCCTGTGCCGTTATTCGGGTTTAAGTATTCGGAATCTGTCGTCACTCCTCGGAAGCAAGCCTGCGTGTTATGAATTGACACAGCTGACGGATCAAGGAAAGTGAACTAACGCTTAGGTTAGTTAGTAGAATATCAACCTTTAACGCGGTAGGACGTACTTTTACTTTTTTGATCATTTTAATAATGGCGAGTTACCGTAACGAAGAATACGCTGATATTCTGTTTTGTTATGGTTTAAGTGATGGAAATTCCGTTGAAGCCAGGCGAGAATACGAAAACCATTTTCCGAATCGGCGAATACCGAGTCATCGAGTATTTGCTTCTGTGTACCAACGCGTCAAGGAAAGTGGACAGGTTCATGAGAGACGTAATGATGCTGGTAGACCTAAGTTATTTGACTACGAAGATCGAAAGGCAATACTGGAATGCTACGGCAGAGACCCGACGACGTCTACACGAGTTATAGCAAAGCAGCTTCGTTTAACTCAGTGAAAAGTTTGGTTTGTTTTGCATTCGGCGAGACTTTACCCTTTCCATTACACACCGGTTCAAGTATTAGAAGAAGGAGATCCCGCAAGAAGAATTGATTTTTGTCGATACATGCTTCATCGGGATCAAGAAGAAAACGACTATTTAACTAAAATATTGTGGACCGACGAGTCTAAGTTTGACAGAGAGGGGACAACAAATTATCACAACTTACATTATTGGGTCCCACGAGAGACAAATCCCCACATGGCAAAGCCAAGAGCCCATCAAAGAAGATTTTCGGCAAACGTGTGGATGGGAATCATTCATACGTATCTAATTGGACCAGTTTTTTTGCCTGACAACCTGAATGGCGAATCCTATGAAAACTTTTTGAGATCCGAACTCTGGGAGTATCTCGAAGACCTGCCTCTGAATATCAGGATGCAGATGATCTACCAACACGATGGTTGTCCCGCGCATTTCCGTCTGGGTGTTAGGCAGTGGCTGGTCGAGAAATATCCTTGTCGCTGGATTGACCGAGGTGGACCGACACCGTGGCCAGCGAGGAGCCCAGATTTAACACCGTGTGACTATTATTTATGGGGGCACATGAAGTCACTGGTGTACGCTGAGCCCATAGACACTCTTGCACAGTTGAAATAAAGAATTATTGCTGCTGCTGACACTATCAAAGGACAACTAACTGGCCGCATCACGCGTACCAACATGAGAAAAAGACTACGGGCTTGCATAAGAAACGGCGGGCGTCAGTTCGAACAACAATTGCAATGAATTTTACCTTCATTCCATTATTGTATTTTACTTACCAATTGTATTAACTTTTAGTCAGTTTTTATTATTCTGTAGTACAATTACAACTGTGTAAATAATCTAATCGTGTAACTTAACCGTAGTTTAAAATAATAACTATCCCATAGCTTACAGTTACATTATTTTCACAAAAACACTTTCTTATCAATCAGAGAGTTGTGAAATAGGAGACAAGCCAGTGGTAAATTTACTCCCTATTGTTGTATTACAATACATTATGTTTAGTTTCACACAGTTTTTGTGCACTTATCATACCAATTTAGATTCCTTATAAAACAAGGATATTATTTAAATTGTTTGTACGTTTTTCTGTATACTGATATTTTTGTAAAACATCTCACTTACTGCAAAACGTTATTTGTTTTTCTTAAACATTTTTGAATGAAAATAAATACGTTGTTTGGTATTGTTTTCGAATCTTTTTTAATTTAAAATAGTTAATTATTGAAATAATAACCCAAAACCACAAAAAACAAATGTTTAATCGCCAACTCTCGACTTTTTTACTCTGAAATATGGATTGTTTTTAAAAAAATCTTAATTCTTCAATAACTTTTCAACCTTTGAATATAGGGTATGGTATTATATACTAATTTCGATAGCAAAGGGGCTGTACTATCACCTCCTAAAATGTTTTACACCTATTTACCTGTCACCCTGTATAAATCGGATACGGAAAAACGGTGACAGATTCTTAAAGTATATCAATACTTTTTGATTGGGTGTTAGTTTACGTTGATGCCATCAAGGGTGCTGTTGATGCTCCGCGAATGTATTCAGTTCGTTTCCCTGGACAATACCATACCGCGTGGGTTTTTTCATCGCGTATAAAGGGCGGACAGTAGAAAACCTAGACAGCCCCAAAACATCAAAATTCAGGATTTTAACTTAAGTATTATTTACAAGTAACATGTGAAAGGGCAGTATTTGAAATTGATCATTAAATATATTTTTCGTTACATTTTTTCAACTGCCGCTTCACCACGCGTAAGATGTGTTATTTCCAAGACGTTGTTTCTGAAAAGTACCAACTCTGTACGTGTTAAGTAGTTTCTAAGTGACGAAGTTTGCCAATGCTTTTCACTTGTTCATTACCATTGGTCTAGTAATACAACACCCAGCCCTGAAGTTCCTATTGACCACACATATATGAACACTTTTTCAGACGCCGCCTGATTATCCAAAGAATAGACATATGAATGCTTACCTTCTCTATGACGCTGTTGATTTCTTGCTCGGCTTTGCTGACTTCCTTTTGCTGTGGCTGAGTAGGCTCCAGTTGTTGCTCTTCCAACGGAATGTCCTCGTCGAACTCGGCGAGGTCTGCCACTGCTTCCGCCTTTGCTGTTCTGGCAGCCTGCACATCCTGATCATCCTCACAAGCAGCCAAAGCATTCTCCAAAGCACCAACGGCGATTTTTTCGTCCATTGCGGGCGGTGTTGTTGCGACAACAGGTATCTTATCGTGCTCGTCCTTTTTGGAGTCGACGAGATCCGCCAAACGAGAAGAGGCTGTCGTCTCTTCGGACTGGTCCACATTGAACAGATCTTGGATGGTCGACTGTAAAAAAACAAAGCCATTGAAGATGTTACCTGCGGTACTAGATAATAACGATAATAACAATCGTCTATATTGGTAACATGGTAAATTACGGGTGGCGAGATTCAGTTCAAAACATTTAGTTTCTAGACAAAAACACTTGGATACTGAAATATTAGCAAGTCTCAAGTTTTATCAGGTTTATGCATTCACGATTCTAATGCCTAGCCCTGGTTGCACCTAACATCTGGCAGTCAAAAACCCGAGAAGTTGCCAATATGACCAATATGATGAGCCGAAAACTGTTACGTACAGAAATTTTTTTTCCTGTCAAAACAAACATCAGCGCGCATTCCAGCGGGTCATAAATGCCTGAGCGTAGCAGCAACAAGCCAATAGAAGAGGTGATCGAGTGTTCATGTTTGCTTTGACGCAGAGTAAATGAAGTTTGAATATACAATATCAAAATGCTCCTGTCACATGGGCATCTGTATGATGTACCGTTCTCACCCCTGGATTGGCGCCATGTATTCAAATCAAGCGTTCTCACCAAAGCGACGGCAACCTGACCGAAGCTATTACATAAAAAAACTATAAAACATTTGCTCGCTATGAGCGTCATCAAAAGCGTCCATCTATGGAGGAATTCGACAGTCTCGATGACTATGTTGCAAGGTTGTTACCTCTCATGGTTTGTTGGTTACTAGCAGAGTAGCAAGATCACATTTGGATGATTGTGTGTATTGGTCTGCATATGTATGAAATCAGTGGTATTTGCTTTGTGAGAAAATTATTACTAAATATGCTGCCCATGAAATACACTTGCGTGCATGGAACTCGGTCCACTGTAAACTTTTGAATTTAAATTATTTATCAGATCAAAAAAAGAAATATGCTGTTTGAAAGACATTTTAATATGCTTTAATGTGAGTGTACGTTTATGAGAACTTATTTCGACTTAAGCAAATTAAGCTTTTTTATTATAACATAAATAGGGTTATTGACAATTTAAAACTTAACACTTAATTTCTTAATAATGGGTATGACGTTCTCTTGCCCTAAAAACATCTCTCATACAATTATGCATAGATCTAATCAAGTTTAGTATTTTTTCTTGTGGGATGTTAAGCCACTTTTCTTCAACTGCAACAATAAGCTCAGGGATCGAGTTTGGGGTATGAAGTCTAGCTCGAATTCTCCGTTTTAGCTAATCCCATAAATCTTAGACCGGATTTAGGTCAGGACTGTGTGCTAGCCACTCCATAACCAGAAAACCGACTTCTGCAATGTAATCTTGCACGATTCTTGCGATGTGCGGCCTTGCATTATCATGCATAAAGGTAAATTCGTCTCCAATGTAGTCGATGTAAGGTTCCACATAAATTGCTAAAATCTCCTCGATACATCTAAGAGACGCTAAACCTCTTCTTCCGTTAACACGGTCGCTCCTACGAATAAACTCAGGGTCGGTTCGTGCTCCCATATAAATTGCACCCAAAATCATGCAGGAACCACATCCGCTCTTCAAAGCATAAATCTGCAAATCGCTCTCTTGGTCTTCGGTACACTTTCCTTCTTCGGTCGCTACCATCTGAGAACAGAACAGATCCACATTGTTCCAACGTCCAATTCAGATGATCCCGTGCAAAACGCAGGCGTACTTACCGATGAGCTGGAGTAAATTTTGGACCAATCGCAGGTGTTTTAGGTGTCAGGTTATTTTCCTGCAGTCTTCGTCTTATTGTCCACTGACTAATAGCCACTCCTCGCTCCTCACGGAGCTGTCATTGCACTTGCATTAAGGTGACGATTTCTTAATGTTGACACAATAAAGCGGTCATCACGAGCGGTTATAAATCGCCTTCTGCCTGTTCCAGGTCGCCTATGAACGGATCCAGTCTCCTCATAACGTTGGCACACTCTTCGAACCGCTACGCGTGTCATATCAAATTGTCTAGCAACAGCTCGGTGACCAGGTCCATTTTCGATCAAAGCAATAACGCATAATATGCAAATTTCAGTTGCAAACGCAATAATTTTAATATTTGAAAAAATTTCGTTACAATCACCGCATAAAAATGTTTCATTTGTTTACAGGTTGCTATGCATATACAGGGTGACTTTGAAGTTGAGTCATTAATTTTCAGATAATGATTGTAGAAGGAAGATAAACCAAAATATGTGTGTAAAAATAAAAAAAAATTAAAAATTTTTTTTTACCTTGTTTTATAAAGTATCCTCCCGTAGTATTTCAGTGCGGACCTGTATTTGATCGTGAGGTCTTGGAGCACCGGCATGCAGTCCCCTGTGAGGTCTTAAGTCACCTGATTCACGAGCCCGTTGTACTACATTAACAAAGGCACGAGGGGTTGGTTGCACTCGATTGGGAAACCGATCCGCATAAATATGTGCCATTTTTTATTTCGTTTGAGCCACGCAGCAAACACCACTATTCACTCACGCGTTACCGACTGACACAGACTGAATAAAAACATCGTGATCAGCGTTTCAAATTCTTTCGCTTTTTTGTTTCCGATGCGATGAACCGATAAGGCGGAGTATATCCGTTGTCGTCAAACACGAGCACATAATATTATTATTGATACAGGGCGGTACTCAAACTTCTAAAGGGCTATAACTTTGTTACTTTAATTTTACCACAAAAATGTTAAAGGAAAAAAACATTTCTTTTGATCAGATCTGCTCACTGTTAAAATAAATGACTCAACTTCGGAAGTCAACCTGTATAAAGGATAAGCCTTCTTGATAAATATATACTCACATTAAAGCATATTAAATTGCCTTTCAAACAGCATTTCTTTTTTTGATCTGTAGAATTATAAAAAAATAGTTAAAGTCAAAAGTTACCAGTGGGCCGATTTCTATCACGCAAGTGTATATCTATTTGCTGTGCCAGACGGGTTATTTGTGTTATCCTTTTTGAAGAGAGGTTATGTAGAAAGATATACTAAGTGACATATAAATCCGAACACTCAGTTTAAATGGTTTTATTTAATAAAATTTTGTACAAGTACTTAATGAAGCATAATAAGTAAATGATTGCACTGTTATAAAGCCCTTTGACCTTTAATAATGTGTGGATGCACCCTGATGTGCTACGCATTCTCCAACGCGCCTAGGCGAGCTTCTGATCAGGTGGTCAATGTCCTGTGGTATCTCATTCCAGGCAACCACCAACTCCTCTCGAAGTGCTTCTAGAGTCTGAGGAGGACGTTGCAAATTGAGCAATCTCCTATCCATCATATCCCACACGTGCTCAATTGGGGATCAGTCGGGAGATCTTGGTGGCCATGGTAACAATGTGACATCATTATGTTGAAAGAAGTCTATTGTGACTCTTGCAACATGTGGTCGGGCATTATCTTGTTGGAAAGTTGGATCTGCCAGGGTGTCAAGATAGGGTAAAAGATGGGGTTCTAGAACTTCGTGGATATAACGCTGCGCGTTCATGTTACCTCTGATGAAGATTAAAGGTGACCTGGAACCATAAGCTATAGCACCCCAAACCATAACTCCAACAGTGTGATGAACATGTCTTTCAACAAAAAACTGTGGATTCCTCCTTTCACCACGTCGCCTTCTAACCCTGGCACGACCATCGTGCATGCCTGAACAAAATCGAGACTCGTCACTAAAGACAATACTGTTCCATTCCTGATCCCAGAGTGACCGTTGTCTGCACCACTCAAGGCGATTACGTCGGTGTTCTCGAGTTAAAGGGAGGACCCAGTGTGGCCGGTATGAAAACAAGCCAAAACTTCTCATTCGTCGGTAAACACTTCGCATGCCAATAGGTCCTCCGTGTTCTGCAAACCATTCATTTGCAATGGACCTGGTAGTGGAGAAACGGTCCCTTAAGGACCAATAATCTTAGGCGGCGATCTTCACGGTCTGTTGTTCTACGGCGGCGTCCAGTGCCCCTTGCTCTTTGCGTACGGCCTTCTCGAAGCCATGCCTGACAACACCTAACCACAGTGTCTACACTTCTTTGCACTCTAACTGCAATTGCCCGAAAAGAAAGTCCAGCGTCCCGAAGTCCCACTATACGGCCCCTATCAAACTCACTAAGTTGACGAAATCGTACAGGTCTCCGTACTCTAGGCATCGTAACCTATCGTAAAGGATGTCAAGAACCAAAATCCGCCAACGTTGATTCTTTACTCTGGCTGAAATATTCATTTTTAGAGCGTTAGTGAATTAAAAAAAAAAGCAGTATAAAAACCGGAATGTCCAACTGATAAGGCTGAAAATTGTTTCACTTGTTATTTACAGTAAGATAAATACATGCACCAACTTTTATTAAAATAAAACCATTTAAACTGGGTGTTCGGATTTATATGTCACTTAGTATATATAGTATTTTGCACGAGTATTCATTACGGAAGAATGACAGCTGATTATCTAGTAATATTCCAACTGATTTTGTTCGGGGTTGGTGTTGCAGCGAAGCACTTATTACTCTAATCATATTAGATGAAAATATCCATGGTTTGCGGAATAATTGTAAAGCTGGTTTTATTGCTGCAAGTTTTCAAGGGGGTATTCAAAACATGGACGCATAAAATGGATACACCAATTTTTGTGGGAAAACTTTTTATTCGACAACAAATAATGTGAAAACATGTTTTTTGGGATTCAATCGAAAGTATTGGCAGGAACGAAAAAACTCTTCATATAAGATTTTTAGGTATTTATGAGACCTACAAAATGACACACGTAAAAATATCCGACTAGTAATAAAAAAGTTATGGCCTAAAACCGAGGCAAACTGCAGGTTTTGGCACTTGTTGGTAATGCGACGATGGTTTCTCGCAGATATTTGAGATTCTTCACATTCGTAGAATTCGTACTTCTAAATAACTACAACAAAATTGGAGTAGACTGGTCAAGTAGTTTTTGAGAATTTCTAATTGTTTATCCCAAAACACCTGTTTTCCGGCCATGACCACTAGTTTATTGAGCAATATACATGGTTAAAGGGCATTTTATAGTTTACCTTGTCGATATGAATCGCAAACCATTCCGGAAGATAAATGTTATTTTTATGCAAAAAAGGATGGGTTACATTTTTTCTTCTAAACAAATTCAAACATTTCGTATTTGTGAGTAATTCGCAACAAAAGATGATACACACATCCACTTTGTTGTAAAATGTGTATAGTAACGTATGCATTTTGAATATCATAGCGCATTTGTTCAATTACTCACAAATACGAAATGTTTGAATTTGCTTAGAAGACAAAAACGTAGCCTTTGATTTTCGCATAAAAATAACATTTATCCTTAGGAATGGTTTGTGATTCATATCGGCAAGGTAAGCACGTATATTTTGCTATTAAATGCTCTTTGAACTAACCATGTAACATATATTGCTCAATAAACTAGTAGCGATGGCTGGAAAACAGGTGTGTTGGGATAAACAATTGGATATTCTCAAAAAACTACTTGACCACTATACTCCAATTTTGTTGTGGTTATTTAGAAGTATGAATCCTACGGATTTGAAGAATTTCAAGTAGTGGCGTGAAATTATCGTCGCATTACCAACGAGTGCCAAAACCTGCATTTTGCCTCGTTTTTCGGCCATAACATTTTTGCTATTAGTCGAATCTTTTCACGAGTGGTCTCATTTTGTAGGTTTCATAAATACCTAAAAATCTTATATAAAAAGTTTTTTCGTTCCTGTCAACACTTTCGATTGAATCCCAAAAACACGTTTACTAATTCTTTGTTGTCAAATAAAAAGTTTTCCAACAAAAATTGGTGTACCTATTTTATGAGTCCATATTTAAGATACCCCCTTGAATAACTTGCGTCAATAAAACCGGACTTCACAATTATTTCGGGGAAATTTGCTAATATGATTAGAGTATATGTTAGATGAACGCCTAAATTTGAAATAGACATTCATGAGATTTGTTTAGTGGTGCACCTGTGGCCTGCCCAGAAAATGCGTAGATCGATGATCCCGCTTATGTTTCTATATTGAATTCGATTAAATCACAGAGCTTCTGCACTACACGTGAATATGTACAGCCCTTTATTCCTGTACTTTTTTCGTACAAACATACGTTATCAAAATAATTACGATCTAACAGATCTAAGAGTTTCCAAAGATTTCCAACATTTTTACATGCGATCAACACCGATTCGAAAACTGAGAAAGCAACAACCATGCCGTAAATTTTAAGTTCAACAACGAAAGTCTGAAGAATAACTGTATCATCTATATTGAATTTCAAAAAATATTTGACTATACCTATTGATATTGTTATCACCTGATACAATAGAAGTGCTTGATTGTGTCAGTATTTGCACCAATTACTTGATTTGTTTAATGGGTAGTTCAGAGTCTTAATCCTTAAGCTTAGTACACACTAGTAGACCCCGTTGCGCAGTTTGTCTATAGGCAGTCTGGAGACCGTCTCAAGACACGATCTATAGATGATATATAGGCATCCTTCTTTGTCTTGTCAGCGTCCATACGAAAATGTGAATTTTTCGGTGTCATGTTCGTTTTGGCCATCAAAGACATTGTTTTGCATGGAATGCACTGGGATATGTCTCGGGGTCCCTCAGAATGTTTTTTTTTTTTTCGGTTAACAGAGCAATGAACTTTTTGATGTTTAAATCTTCAATAGATATTATTACACTAGTTATAAATGACACGTACTTCTTTTGTTCTCATATAATAAAACATTGCCTTCTGAGGATTACTGAGCCTTGTTTTTTTTCAAGCTGGCATTGACCAGATAGAACACAATGGATTTAAGGAGTAATAGGATAAATTATAGAGGTTCCACTGAGGTTGAAAAATTACCATCCCCAAATATCGTTTGCGCCCCCCTAGACGAAATCCTAAATTCGCCCTTGGCAAGGAAATACATAAGTGAATTTGTTAGGTAACAAGTAAACGATATTGCTTGGAAAATGATGCCATATGATTTATTGACCACATTAGCAATGTAGATGTGGGATCCTACAAATTATTTTAGACTCAAACATCATATCATCTACGTACTCATGAAATGGATAGAAACAGTGTTCTCTTTTTAGAAAACTTCGTAATGCAGCTGATCAGAAATTATTTTTGAATCAGATTTTATCAGAGTGTGACTTCCAGCTACTAGTCCGCGTTACATCAGCTTCAAATATCCACGGAAATAGAACTTACGCTTTTGAAGTATGCAGTGGTGAAATTCCCGCCTTCTATGGCAAGATCGCCCAGCAGTCGCTTCTGATTGGCCTTTTTCAGTATGTTCTCCTCAATAGTCCGTTCGCTGACCAGCCGATAGATGTGGACGTCCCTCGTCTGTCCGATACGATGGCATCTGTCTTGGGCCTGAGCGTCCATCGTTGGATTCCAGTCAGAATCGTAGAATATCACAGTATCGGCACCGGTTAGGTTGACGCCCACGCCGCCAGAGCGCGTTGATAGGATGAAAGCGAAAATGCGCTTGTCGTTGTTGAAACGCTCCATCAACACCTGACAATTGTTCGTATTATTATATGAAATATTACAGAATCGATAGTTATGTGGATGTTTTAAGTTACATATGAAAAATGCATGCTCAAACTGTAAACATTCGTACATGGTAACGAGCTGTAAATAACATATACGTTCCATTATTTGATATATCACACTTATAAATGATGGTTTAAATTCATTAATGATACGACTTTAGCAGAAACTCTGGATCACAGAACCCGTATATAATTAACATAAGTCTCGAAAAGGGCACTTCCCAAACTAGCTTCAAAGAAGCTGTTATTGCCCCCATAGCTAAAAATGATAACCCTGTTGACTACAGTGACCTCAGATCAGTCAGTATCTTATGTTTTCTCTCTAAAATACTTGAAGAAGATGTGAATACCTTGAAGTTAATCATATATTTCTTCCTGTCCAAAAAATTTGGTTTTTGAAAAGCTCACACCACTACAACAGGTTTGCTATTCATTATGTTATTATTTAGTCAATATTGAAAATTTGTGTTGAAAGGCACTCCTCAAAGATCAATGCTAACAATAATTTTCCAGTGAATATTGCTAACTTGATCCAGCTATCTGTGAATGATGCACTGATACCTTTAGTTAGGCTAAACATCTGGACAACATTATATTGTAGATAAAGATATCCGATTTATTTAGCATGTGAATGCCTCTACGCATCTCTAAAATTATTATATTCGAATCGGTATATCCTAAACTTTGAGACGCGAAATAAACTTATCGAGAGTCTTGTTTTATCAAAGATATTTTACTTATTGATCCTGTATTATCCATGTCTTGACTACAGTACTAAATATCGATCACAGAAAATTCAAAATAGTTATTGCCGATTCATATACGGTCTCAGAAAGTTTGTTCATGTGTCATCTAAGATCAAAGAGCTAAAGTGACTGAAGGTCGACAAACACTATACTCATTCCTCTTAGGTGTATGATACAGGTTCGCCTACTTATCTTTTGAATAAGCTTGTCATTCGAGGGCAAGTTGTTATTATTATTACTTAAGAGTACTTCAACACAACCATCTCTTCAGTATGCCATCTCGTGAAACAGTCTTATCCAGGAAATATTTGACTTACAATACTATCAGGACATACTAGTATAACTCTATTAACAAGTCAGGAAGCTCATCTAGCTTCAAATAATGCTTACAAATCACTTTTACAGTTGGTAAAACTGATTGTTTCAAATTTATTGTTAATATGAAAATTATGTGTTTTTTTTTGTATACTCCAACTACCACGAAGGCCTAAGGCCTAAGCACCCATTGGGCACCGTGGGGCTATAGGGGGCTACATGGGAAAGGGGGGGGACGCCACACGGACTCTGGCGAGGGAACACGTGTGCATGCAACATGCACACATTCTGGCTCCGCCTACGAGAACCGCCGGGTGGTACCTCCGCGTTCGACAGTCAGAGACCATCTACCACCTACGGATAATCACAACATCCATAGCCAAGAGAAAAATTTCTCCTGGGACGGGACTCGAACCCGCACAGCGCACGGCGACTGATCACGAGACCGAAGAGTCTACTACTGCGGCCACCGCTGCTGCCTTATTTGTAGTGTTCGCTTATATTTGCAATCATTATACCCATTTGAATTGTTTACATATATACATATTTTATGTGGTTCTGCTTCATTTTGACGTTGAGCAGCAGAGTAGAAATGTGGCTAAACTTCACCTAAATTTAATAAACACATTTATTATATGCCCCTGCAGTCAGACAAAGCATTGGATGATGAATTAAAAATGATGTGTTGCAAGGTTCTAGATAGTTTTCAGTATTGACAATCCGAAAACGTGCTGGCCATCGCTAATATTATAGCACTGCTGCAAAAGTTTTACAGCTATTAAGTAAACTACAAACTGATCGACAGTGCATACTTTTATGACAAAGCGACTTATTCCATTATCTTATAAGTAGAAGTATGATTTTATTCACACCTGTCTTTGGTCCACTTTGGTTGTACCATCCAGTCTTAGATATATGTGTCCATGGTAATTAAGGAATGCCTCAAGAACGTCCAGCATCTTGGTCATTTGCGTGAATATGAGCACACGATGTGTTTCAACCTAGACATAAAGACAAATCAAATTAAAACTAACTACATGTAGCATAAAATCACAACACACACAATAAAATGCACCAATTTCCATGATACTACAACAAATTCCAAGGACTATTTGAGTGTCCCAACTTCAAACTGTTGGTAATAGTGAATTGGTTGACATTCAGTAGTGTATTACAGGTATTTTCATCACATGTTCATCAAAGTTTATTTAAATTAACAGCTATCTCGATTGTATAAAAAAACTTTCCTAGTTAGTTTATGCAAACAACACGCATTCAAGCGTTAGCGTCATGAGAAAGTACAAAGCAGATCAAGGTACATATGTGTCATTTACAAACTTGACTGTCACTCAACAATTATTTTTTGTCATGGTTTTATGTGTTAAGTATCGTGGAGAATAGTCTATATGTTCCTTAATCCACTTAATAATAATGACCTTCAAACTTCTCAGCAGTCTGTCAAGGGTTTGCAGCTTCCCGCAATCGTACTGTATCAACCTGGGATCGGGGAATTGCGTGACCATGGCGGAAGCGATTGGATGCAAAGGCGTTGCCATCTTGGAGAACAATGTCCGGATCAATTGTTTTTGTTCCTGTTGACCCCAGTATTTACTTGGCGAAGGATGCCAAATCCTCATCTCAGGTTCTGGAGCTTTCACTGCAGGTACGAATAAGATAAATCTGCAAACAAAACAGACAGGGCTAGGAAGGTGAACAATCTGATGAAGCCGTTACATTTTGTGAGTATGATCCAAGGTCTGGCCTCTGACATCCAATAGGCCAGCTGACTTTTTCACTAAGTTTTTGTGCTTAGATGATTATCTAATACGAACAATAAGTCAAAAAATGTGTTGCAAGGTTCTAGATAGTTTTCAGCATTGACAATCTGAAAACATGCTGGCCATCGCTGGTATTATAGCACAGCTGCAAAAGTTTTACAGCTAATGAATTTAACTGGAAACTGATCGACAGTGCATATTATACGTTTACGTAATATACGCTATTTTCTCGCGTTAAGATTGATCTACCAAAACAGCGTAATAAGTTACACCGACATATAAGTACCCTTTTTCCTTATAACTGAGCAATTCTAAAAATCAGCTCATTATGGATTTACCTATCACAGGCGTCTTTCAACTGTTCAATTCTCCTTTCTGGATTACACAGCATATCCTTGAGGCAATCTGCCTGTTCCTCCATATGCATATTATACAGAATATTCAAGCATCGCACGTAGCCTCCCGACCACACATCTTTTTCATTTGGTTTGAAAATTTTCACTACGTCCTAAAACAAAATAAAAATAATTGGCATTGGATGCTTTCCAGCTACTGAACGGTGATGAAACATTGCTTTCTTTCTGAAGGAGACGGAGATAAAAGATTAATTGTGGTACGAGCGGATCAATAGCAAGGTATTCAGTTATGGTACGGTATTCATGCTTCGCCTTCGTAATTGTAAAAAAAAAAATGTTGCAGCTCAATCCATTTAACCAACTATCGCATTAAGTTAGCTAAACCTAAGGAGCACTGCATTTTGATTTCCACAGTACAAAACGCCACTCTATTTGTTATGTCATATTAGGTGGAGCTGGGACTGTGAGACATGAAGTTTTGACAGCGTTTACATCGACAGATTCTGTTACGCAATTTATTGTTATGTACACTAAGCAAAGCAAACAAACATACAAAATTCGATCCTTGATAGTAGGGTATTTAGGGAAATCATTTTTTGTCATTTTGTGGTGGAGGCAGTGGTACTGAAATAATAAGAATGGGGTAAGTTATTGAGCATACAGGTATATTCAAGTGACAAAAAAGAGGATTATCATAACAAAATAATTAAAACTGGCGGCGGCGCAGCGCTTTTCTCAAAATGCAAAATGGCACGCAGCATAACTTGACAATTGTCAATCTTTTCACTCGATTTTTTACAATATGTTTAAAATAACATTTTGAAGAAAAACACGTAAGGGATTTTCGATAAGTTGATTTAATCGTTACTTATTAATGAAAAGGGAGCCTCGGTAGCTGGGCGGTTGCAATATTAACTTTATGTAAACCCCATCACTGGAGCTGGTTTACTATATCAGTTACTAGTACAAAGATGTAGATGGCTCCTGGAGAAGTACAATGTTGATACTACAGGGCCAGCAAAAATGGTCAAAGGTGGCCTAGTTGCCAGGACTTGCCTCCCCACCACCACTACTACTACTACTACTACTAATAATAATAATAACAATAATAATGAATTACATATACATACTAATCACATAAAACTCAATATTTTGTTTTTTCTGTTTTCTGGATACACATTTGCAGCAGCTACACTGAGTACCGCAGAGCGCCTCAAAATCTATGTGCCTCGCAAAAATGAATGCAGTGCAGTATTTTTGAATATTTTCTTACAATAAATGTTTTGTTACTGAACTATAGAAGCTCAAGAACTTGCTCCAATATTTATTAATATACCTAATTGTGGAGTTACCACCTAAAAAAATCGTTGATTTTGAGTTAGCACCACTAGGTCATCTAGCTGAACAGTCTGTATAATAATCTTAGGCGCTGGAGTATTTAAAAATGGAGGATTATTTTCATTGTAAAAAATCTGCCATAACCTTGCATCGAATCGTCAATCTTTTGAATGGGAGCTTCCTTTGGGTTCACTCAACATCCGCTTTGAATGTGGAATACTCCAATACCTTTTCTTTTTAATCTTCTACCCTCCATACTGCCATCATCTACATACAAATCGGCAGATTATCAACTATGTAATACTTTCAGTATCAGACACACGTGAAGGCATATACAATACCAAGATCTGACGCGCTCGAGTATATTTATTGAAGTATTTTTTACACTTTCTAAAACCTGTAGGTGCTTATCCCGCCAGTGAAAAACATGCTTTTTTCTGTAATTCGAAAGCTAATAGGTCTCTACAACGCTCGAGTAATTCGCTCTTCTCTATTTCTAAGGAAAAATAAATTATATAAGACTATAATTATCACGCACCTGGAAGTCTCTACCGTACAGAGGCAACGCATCGCACCGCCTTGCGTTGACAGATGCCATCAACTGCATCCGACGCGTGCGCTCTCCTTTAGCATCCTTCTTGTCAACTGTCACATCCCTCGTTTTCTCCTTAACAATTCCCTGCGATCTACCCGACCTCTTGTCCTTCCACCGTACGTCCAGGTTGTTTTGTTTTGAATACAGCCTACCGATATAATCGTTTCCTACAGATGGACGGACGCCGCCCAACGAATTTTTTTCTTCCGTCTTGACGTTACACTGAACGGAGTTCTGCAGCAGAGATACAGAAATGACAGGTCTTCTACAATTTCATTATCGTTCTATGAACATTCATTCAAGCAATTAAAAATTATAATGAGAACTACACGCAAAAGTAAAATGACAATTTGGCACTACATAGTATTGATGTCTTTACAAATACAAGGTTATCAAAATGGATAGTTAACTTGACTAAATACTAGGATGTATGGTTGAGTTGAAAAATACCATCACGGTAACACTACACCAATTAGATTCTGAAAATTTTAGTGTCTTATGTACGCCGATTGTTCTATGTTGGGTACACCATATAATGTAAAAAATCGAATAAAGGAAAGGAAAGGGGTACATAGTTTCAGAATGTGACAGTTTTGTAAATACGAAATTATTGACCTAAATTACTTACGGTTGTTGTAATGGGAGTAGTGTTCACAGTGGTAACTGATGAGAGTTGGAATTTGACGAAAGCTTTGGTTACACCATGTCCTGCATTTCCAACAGTAGTCACCGGCTGCTTGGACAGAAACTTGAGTGTCTGCACACCTGAACAATATACGCCACTATTAATATGGAGAGAGCAGTGATTTCAATGGATTGCCATATTCATTAGTTCTGTGGTCGCCAACCACACGATTATTTTGCAGTAATCGCCGAGTTCTGAAACACATAGGTGGGTTTACGTTGCAGTTTTCACAATTCCCTTTGCAACCATCCGATAGCATGAGATCCGGCGGTTGGCGACCACTGCATTGATGTTTGTCATAATTTACTCATCGTTTATTTCTTAATCACAAATTCAACATGTATATAAAAAAGAACGAACCCGAATAATGCACATCCTTTTCTCTCAAAAAATGACAGTTTCACTGTACCACATCTCAAAAGGGTTTTTATTGGATAAGTTACATGTACTATACAATTTCAATTAATAACCCCGTTAGAGATATTCAAATCTTTACCAAAATTAAATATTAGAAAATTAATGATGAATAAATTTCGACCAAATATAGAATAATAATTTAGAGGATGTGAAATGGGAACTTACTTGTTGTATACGTAATGGGGATATTCGTTGTTATTCCCGGATTAGAAGTCAACACCAAATGCTTACCGGTCGCGCTCTGTACTATTTGTGCAAAGTTCGTAGTCGGTTTCAAAACGGTAGCATTGTTCCCTTGACCACTCACTTGTCCCGCCTGGGAGATATTCACAACTGGTATAGCTGCGGCAAGAAATATAAACGTCAAAACCTGTTAAAGAATTAAACTTCAGCTAGACTATTTACTACGACACTTCAACACGTTAAAACTTGACTAAAGAAAATCAGAGATTTAGTGGCGTTCAAAATGCTCCATATCATCAAGTGACAGGAATAGAGATGGTCGATATCGACATTTTTACTTATTAGTGATTTAAAACCGTCATGTGATCACGACTTGGAGAATAATGGTGAGATTATGGGTATACTGATATATTCAGCAAAATTGCATGGAGCTAACTGCCAAAGCCTATAAGGCATGATATCGCTGGCAGGTGATAGTAGTCTTACGGCGGTATTCGATTTTTGGTCTTAGCGGCTGGTGCGCATATTCAAACGTTAACGCCATAATCTCATGATGCAATTCACCTTTGCCGCGAAGCATCTTGTTCCCAAAGTCGTGATCACGTCACGCGTTTCACGGTTTTTGTAAACAGTCCAGATGCTTGACTTAGAAATATCAGTTACTAAATGTCAGTTCGTGAAATAGCTGCCACCATTAGACAGTAATACCTTCTACTGCTTCATACTTTCTAGATTCACCGACACTTTTATATGATTTGTTTTGCAAAAAATATATAGGAAAGTATCAGAATACAATTTGAACCAACCAATATATCTAATAGTGCCATGACTACATTTCAATTTAACTCTTTCTGATAAAAAATTCGCGAAAACAGTGCTGATATGTGAATTTCTACCGTTACTATTGTCAACAATGCAAAATTAACACAAAAGTTATCATAATAAATAGTGCAGTGAAGGTTAGTTTATTGCTTATCCGGATTTACGCTTGACTTTGAATCTCATATGTATAGTTTATCTGAAGTCACTTGAAACACTGTGAAATACCGGGTGCGTTTTATATATCTATATTTAACACGCTCTGTTGCTGCAAAAATCGCCAAATTTCGCAGCAAATATCCCCCGTATAAGATCAAAGGCAGTTTCACCGGTCCACGTGGAGTAAAGCACGCCTATGCGTGGACATAGCCAATGAGAAAGCGTGTATTTCAGAGCTCCGAAAAAGTGCAGGTGGCTACTGAAAATTGAAACAGTTTAGCCAGTGCCGTGTAGCGGTGAATAAACGTGTTTTCTTTAGTCTGTCTGTGTTTTTTCATAGATTTTATTAGTTTGTGTGTTTTTGACTTTTGAATACTCAGTTTACTTGTTGATTTAATTGTTGTGTTGATTGTTCTTGTGTGTCCTAAATGTGGCTCTTTGGAGACCTTGGGAAAATGCTCCAAGCCACGAGGAGATGGTTGATGAACCTGTGCAGGCAGAATTCTTTCACAAAGATTTAGAGGAACAGACTCAAAGAGTAATCCTAAATATGTATGATTGTTTGAAAAACGAAAATCCAGATTCCTCGCAAAATCAAATTTTATATCCTGACAAAAATCAGTCGGTCTACCATTTATCGGGTTATAAAAAAGAGAGATGTAGTCAACCATTCCTTCCACAGAAAGCGCATAGGGCAAAAATTAAAAAGAATAGACGTGGGTTTTCAGGAAGATATTCGTCGTATAATATACGGATTTTATAAAGAAAATTTGGTGCCCACTTTGGAAATGATACGGGATAAATTAAAAGATTATCCTGAATATTTTTATAATTACAAATGCTTAGACGCACTGCACTGTATTGTAAAACTGTGTGGTTTTCAATACAAAAAATTAGATAAAAGAATGGTGATTATGGAGTCGTCTCGAATCGTTGAATTGCGCCAAGAATTTTTGCACAAAGTTAAAATCTATAGAGAGCAGAAAAGAAATCTGATTTACCTGGATGAAACGTGGTATGATACCCATGATGTTGTGCAGTACGGCTGGGTTGACGACAGCAACAAGTGCATTTTAAATGCACCATGCAACCGTGGAAAACGAATCATTATTCTCCATGCTGGCAGTGAAAATGGATTTATACCTAATGCCTTGCTGTTATCTGCCAAAAATATCAAAGAATCATGTGCCGACTATCATGAGGACATGACCTCCGACTTATTTGAAAAGTGGATAGAGCAGCAGTTAATACCAAACATTTCCCCAAATTCAGTGATTATTATGGACGCCATACCATTCCCGACAGAAACACAAAATTCCGAATACAGGCACAAAAAAACAAGACATTATTGATTTTATGAAGGATAAGGGAATGGAAATACCACAAAAATCAACCAAAGCCATATTATTGGATCTTATTGAAAGACAAAAATTTGAAAAAGAGTATGTTGTTGACAATCTGCTTCAGCAAAATGGCCATGAAGTATTACGTCTACCTCCCTATTACTGCATTTTTAACCCGATTGAGTTGGTCTGGGCTGCTTTAAAAAAAAGTAAGAAAACATAATCAGACCCCTCAATTAAGTGAATCGCTATTGGCCACAATAAGAGATGCAGTATCTCATATTGCTGCCACAGACCTATGGAAGCAGTGTTCTAGGCATATTATTGAAAAAGAAAATGAATATTGTGTTTTTCCTCCTGTAAATCCCGTTGTAATTCCTCTACAAGATGACTCTAGCGACAGCTCCGAAGGCGAGAATGATATATAAATACCTATAATGTAAGTCTTTATATACCTTTTTATATACCTACCTGCTATGTAAATATTTGCCTATGTCAAACGTTGGAATTCTGTAATTTTTCCATTTCTTAACTTTCAGTCAACATAAATTAAACTCCCAATATAAGTATTTTTTATCCCAAATCAAAAAAATAAGAAGATAGTAAAATCGATTTATTGTAATATAAAAACATTATTATTATCGTTCTAAATAAATCACCGCACGCCTATGATACGTCATGAAATTACAAAGGACGCGCCGACCAAAGGTTTTTATGCTATTTCAAGTGACTTCAGATATACCATACTCAACCCATTGTGGGATCATAACTAGGGATTGCAATCCGATGCAATATTTCGATGCAAAATGCGCAGAGTCTCTATTTAGAACTTGTAAATTTGAAATTGTAAAGAATAGGTAAATTTGTAAAAAAAAAGTGACTGTAAAGCCTTTTTCAACCATGTTACATAATCCATTCTTAGTTTAAGACTGTTCTAGAGAACCATATTATTGACAAATTCAGGTATCTAGTAGAAAATTCCAAAAACTGGTGAGTAACCTTTAAACCCCTTAATACGACCCTATCACAGACATCTACTTCCTATAAACTACCTCTACCTATAAACTAGTCTCTAGTCGAATAACAAAGGAGTTTTGTACAAACTTGTAAATGCCTCTATTCTTCTTTAATCTGACCCTGTCTCAAAATCCGTTATCAGCCAACATGACCTATCAATAAAATACCTCCCTACCAAATTTCATGTTCATATGAATAGTTTTCGAGATTTCATGTATCACTTCTATTTTGTATTTCGTGTTCATAGGTCCAATAGGTTTTAAAATTTTAAGATTAATGAGTACATTTTCGCTCTAATATTCATCTGTCCTCAGCTCCCCTTAATATAGCCATGCCACGAAATCCGCACCGGTATTATGTAAAAAACCTAAAAAACGTAAAAAAAACATGAAATGTCATTTTGCAGACTACAGTTTATCTATGTTGTCCTTTCTGAAGACAGGTAATATTCAAAGTTGTAAATTACGATTTATCCCGTTTTTTATTTCAAAAACTTTGGGGAGCACCACGGGAAATCGCCACCGCGCCTGCGTTGTGTTAAATTGAGTCACATTACAAAAAATTTTGGAATGACGCATCACACATCAAACATTTTCGCAGTGACTCACATCTAGGCGCTGATCTGTATTTTCTATTGACATCGTAAAATAAATGTCTATAAAATTTAAATGGCTGGAAATAAAAAATACTGTAATAACATTTTCACTTTCATAAATATTCCTGTCGATAACATATTTTCTCACCTGTTCTTTCACCAAGAAGGGATTTGCTTTTCTTATCTCTCTGATTTTTGAAATTCAGCAAATTTGCATATGTAATTTCCAGAATGAATAAGAAGTGGATGCGCGACCAATTTCAAGCTTTCTCCCTAGCTAATCGCAAGTAAGTGTATTTGAGACAAGAAACCAATTGAATTGTCATCAACACATATTATTAGGACACAAATCCTCACTATGCACTGCATTCCTTCCAAGTAGAGTATACAACTTAGAGCTTAGACCTCCCATAAGACCACCCCTGAAGCGATGTTACATCACATCAGAGCCACACATTGATATCTAAAGCATCATGACGTTTAGGCAACACAACTACAAAACGACCTACGTTATGTCACAAAAAACTTACGTTATATCAAAAAACGACAAAATGTCACTTTTCAAGATGCATAATACTCCTGCCGTTTTTAGCTAACATCTCCTGCCCATCAACTACATACAAAATTCCATATTCATAGGTCAAATCCTTTTAAGAGATAAATTTCTATAAAATTAACTTGAATAGTTTCAAGTTTCCTATACAAAACATTCAACCCCCTCAAGCCCATCTTCAGGGTATAATTTCTGGAGTTTTTTGATATTTTTTTTAAAGATTAAGTTGCAGAGAAAACATACTCCTACTTTTAGCTGGTCTAATTAGAATATTAACTCTGTTGAGTGGAATTTCCAAAATTTCTTTGTAATTGTAATTTAGATAATAAAGAACCAAATATAAAAGCCCATATTTGTGTTCCTAACTTAAAGAATGATAGTTTCCTCATTTCAACCCCTTCAAGTCCTATTTTCGAAACAAAAAGTACCCTATATCTGACTCCTAGGCCTAGTTACATGTAAGCTAAAATTCCTTACAATCGGTTCAGCCGGTGAAAACGCCAACATTCATACACACTTCCACATTTATAGTACTATAAGAACTAGTAAGGATAGCGGTGAATACGGGTATTATTTTTCTATTTATTGTTATTTAGAATCATTACATTTCTCCAGTGCCATTCAAGGAAAAGCACTACAAGGCACCATATGGAGAATTGGCTATGTTTTAATTTGGGGGGGGGTTTGTAACTGAATTTTTCTTCCAAGTCTCTAATAAAATTATGGTCAATACAAGGAAACCAAAATTACTCATTACATT